GGGGGGGCGGGGGGACATCGGCCATCCAGCTAAAGGCACCAGCCATTGTCTGCGAGGATCCTGCCAATTGCCGTGGGGAAATGACAATGTCTCCGAACATGAATGTTCAGATATTACAAAGCCCCACCAAATAGCTGCTGGTTAGAAAAAAAACATATTTTGCATAAAAAAGGGGCTTTGGCTCCCAAGCTGTGGCCCAGGCAGCAGGGGGAAGTGCGCTGCACCCACGTGACACAGGGATGTCTTCTTTAATACAGGGAGATGATGAATTACCCTAAGAAGCACGTTAATGTCAGGAATCAAGCGTAATCTAACTTCTCTTCTGTGACAATATTAAATGCCTTTCAGGAGGCATTTCTGATGGTGATGTTAGTGCAAATAACAGGCGGGGAGGCAGGGAGGGGCGCTGGGTGGGCGGTGACCGGACTGACTAGTGGCCAGGGGCAGAGGGAGAGAGTCCCCCACAGAGAAGGAGGGACCCGCCCTGGGTGGGAGCCTGGCTCCAGGGGGGGCCCGGTGCCTCATGTAACCCGGCAAGAACCCAGGGTGCATGCTGCAGTGGGTAACCCTCCAGCTGCCCACCCCAGACACCAGCCCGCCCCTGCCCACCCCGTCTGCAGACAAAGCCCAGACAATACCCAGAGGCCAAGTGACCAGGCCAAGGTCAAAGCCAGGCCCTCCCCAAGCCCATTTGCTCTGTCCAGCTCGCAGTGTCCTCCCACTGGCCCAGGTAGAGCTCAGGTCGCCACTCAGCAGGCTCCTGGGGGCCACCGATGCGATGCCTCCATGGACACAGAGCCCAGCTCACTGAACGGGCCCATGAACCCAAGTGTACACTCAGATCCCGCACACGCAGGGCCCTGAACAGGGTTCCAAGGCCATGACCGGGAACCCAGACAGGGCTTGGACGGAACCCAGTCTCAGCACAAGGCTGCACGGGCCAAGGGTCAGAGCCAGGGTGGCCAGGACCCAGCCAGCCTGGTCGTGACTGGGCAAGGCCCTTCACCCCTGTGGGCCTCAGTTTTCCCATCGGAACCAAAACACATTCCCTCTTTTCCCACAGGGGGCTACAGCTGGGATCTGCCATAGATCCAGGGAGCTGGGGGTCCCACCCCTGCCCCCAGACCCACCAGAGGGCTGAGTACTAGCAAAAGCAAGGCAAAGGGGTTCCTGGGGTCAGACCCCAACCCCTAGTCCCAGGAAGCCCTGGCCGCCCCGTCCCACACTGAGACCAGCATATGGCCCTGGGACCCCCCACCCATTTCCTATACCCCACC